TCTGGCTCCGGTCATACAGGGACCAAACAGCCCTCAGCAGAGGACCCCGGACCCCGTACTGGCGGCACGGTGGCTGAGTGGATAGCACTCTCGCCTCTCAGCAAGAAGGTCCTGGGTTCGAATCCCGGCCGGACCAGGGCCTTTCTGAGTGGAGTTTGCATGTTCTCCCCGTGTCTGCGTAGGTTTCCTCCGGGTACTCCGGTTTCCCCTACCACTAAAAATATGTCCAATAGTTCTGGCATGTGCCTCCTGTACTGGCCCCGCTCCCATCTCTGTGTGGAGTGAGAGACAAATGCCCAAAATTAACAATTGTAAACCGCTTTGAGACTCAGATCTGCAGTGAAAAGGCGGTATATAAATAATAACTTACTTACTTACTTACTTACTCCCGGAGGACCCCCCAAAGGACACCCCGGGGAACACGGTCGAACGCCTTCTCCAAATCCACAAAGCACATGTGGACAGGTTGGGCGAACTCCCATGAACCCTCGAGTATCCGATGGAGAGTATAGAGCTGGTCCAGTGTTCCGCGACCGGGACGAAAACCACACTGCTCCTCCTGAATCCGAGATTCGACCATCGGACGTAGCCTCCTCTCCAGTACCTTGGAGTAGACCTTACCGGGGAGGCTGAGGAGTGTGATCCCACGATAATTGGAACACACCCTCCGGTCCCCCTTCTTGTAGAGAGGGACCACCACCCCGGTCTGCCACTCCATTGGCACTGCCCCCGATCGCCACGCGATGTTGCAGAGACGTGTCGGCCAAGACAGTCCTACAACATCCAGAGACTTTAGATAGTCAGGACGGATCTCATCCACTCCCGGCGCCTTGCCACCATGGAGGCTGCCAACCACCTTGGTGACCTCGGCCAGGGAGATGGAAGTATCCGCCCCAACATCCTCAGCCTCTGCCTCCTGGACGGAGGACGTGACGGGGGGATTGAGGAGTACCTCGAAGTATTCCTTCCACCGTCCGACAATATCCCCAGTCGAGGTCAGCAGCCCTCCACCCGCACCATACACGGTGTTGGCAAAGAACTGCTTCCCCCTCCTGAGGCGCCGGACGGTTTGCCAGACCCTCTTTGAGGCCGACCGATAGTCATGCTCCATGGACTCTCCGAACTCCTCCCAGACCCGGGTTTTTGCCTCTGCAACAGCCCGGGCCGCGGCACGTTTGGCCTGCCGGTACTGGACAGCTGCCTCAGGAGTCCCACGAACCATCATTGCTCGATAGGACTCCTTCTTCAGCCTGACGGCATCCCTTACTGCCGGTGTCCACCACCGGGTTCGGGGATTGCCGCCGGGACCAGCACCAGAGACCTTGCGACCACAGCTACGAGCCGCTGCATTGGCGATAGAGGAAGAGAACATGGTCCACTCGGACTCGATGTCCCCCTCCTCTGCCGGGACCTGGGAGAAGCTCTCCCGAAGGTGTGAGTTGAAAGTCCGTCTGACAGGGGGCTCAGCAAGACGTTCCCAGCAAACCCTCACTACACGCTTGGGTCTGCCAGGTCTGACCGGCTTCTTCCCCTGCCAGCGGATCCAACTCACGACCAGGTGATGATCGGTTGACAGCTCCGCCCCTCTCTTTATCCGAGTGTCCGAAACACGCGGTCGAAGGTCAGATGATACGACTACAAAGTCGATCATCGACCTCCGGCCTAGGGTGTCCTGGTGCCACGTGCACTGGTGGACACCCTTGTGCTCGAACATGGTGTTCGTGATGGACAGGCCGTGACTGGCACAGAAGTCCAACAACTGAACACCGCTCGGGTTCAGATCAGGGGGGCCGTTCTTCCCGATCACCCCTCTCCAAGTGTCACTGGCATTTACCACATGGGCGTTGAAGTCCCCCAGGAGAATAACGGAGTCCCCGGGCGGTGCACTGTCCAGTACCCCTCCCAAGGACTCCAAGAAGGCCGGGTACTCTGCACTACCGTTAGGCCCGTAGGCCGTCACAACAATGAGAGACTTGTCCCCCACCCGGAGGCGGAGGGACGCGACCCTCTCATTCACCGGGGAGAACTCCAACACGTGGCGGCTGAGATTGGGGGCAATGAGAATGGCCACCCCAGCTTGCCGCCTCTCCCCGCGGGAAACACCAGAAAAGTGGAGCGTCCAACCCCTCTCAAGGAGTTGGGTTCCAGAGCCCAAGCTGTGTGTGGAGGTGAGGCCGACTATCTCTAGTCGGTATCGCTCAACCTCCCCCACAAGCTCGGGCTCCTTCCCCCCCAGTGAGGTGACGTTCCACGTCCCAAGAGCCAGATGTAGTGTGTGTGGACTGGGTCGCCGAGGTCTCCGCCTTCGACTGCTGCCCAGTCCTCTCTGCACCTCGCCACCACGGACCCCTCTGCAGGTGGTGAGCCCACAGGAGGGACTGCCCACGTCATCCCTTCGGGCTGAGCCCGGCCGGGCCCCGTGGGCTAAGGCCCGGCCACCAGGCGCTCGCTTGCGAGCCCCGACCCCAGGCCTGGCTCCAGGGTGGGGCCCCGGCTGCGCCATGCCGGGCGACGTCACGGTTCTCATTGTCGTGCTGTCCATGGTTGGCTTCGGACTGCGCTTCGTCTGACTCGTCACTTGAGACCTGTCTGCCATGGGAGACCCTACCAGGGGCATGAAGCCCCAGACAGCATAGCTCCCAGGATCATCCGAGTACTCAAACTCCCCCACCACGTTAAGGTGGCAGTCCAAGGGGGGAGAAACCGATGTTATCGTAGTTAATTAAGATGAAGCTAAAGTTGAAACTCACAGCGATAACGAGCGGCGTCTGATGGTGCAGCTGCTGTTGATGGTTATGAGCTGTATCATCGTCTCTGCTAATGCTAATCCAGACACACACACACGCATGTTTGATGGTCACGTGGGACATGGTCTCCTGCTGGTCCCTGAGTGTCAACCTGAGAATCTTTACTTTTATGTTTTACGATCATTAAAAAACTCTGCTGTGGCCCTTTGTGTTGACTTAGCAAAGTAACCGTGACTAATGGGATTTTAAACATGGACCAGAGACCAGAAAGAGACAAGAGAGAGAGCTGAGAGAGACGAGAGAGAGACCAGAGAGAGACCAGAGAGAGACCAGAGAGAGAGACCAGAGAGAGACAAAAGAGAGACCAGAGAGAGGCCAGAGAGAGACCAGAGAGAGGCCAGAGAGAGAGACCAGAGAGAGGCCAGAGAGAGAGAGAAACCATAGATAGACAAAAGAGAGAGACTAGAGGGAGACCAGAGAGAGACTAGAGAGGGACCAGAGAGAGACCAGAGAGAGACCAGAGAGAGACCAGAGAGAGACCAGAGAGTCCACACCCTCGGACACCTCTGCAGCCTCCGCTCCTAAACTGGGTCAGGCACCATGGATCTGGGTCTAATACCAGTGGCGTGAGTCGGTCTAAACGTGTCTCCTGGTCCCAGCGCAGCCGGCTTTAAACTCGCTGCTCTTCGACGATATGCTAAGTCCTCGTGCCTGACCCTCGGGCTCGCTCCGGTCTGCCTCTCGGGCTCGTTCTGCTCTGCCTGCGGCTGATAAGTGGCTTTATAATCCCCTGTAGCTTTACCATCAACTGTCGCTTTACCATCAACTGTAGCTTTACCATCGACTGTAGCTTTACCATGGACTGTAGTTTTACCATCAACTGTAGCTTTACCATGGACTGTAGTTTTACCATGGACTGTAGCTTTACCATGGACTGTAGCTTTACCATCGACTGTAGCTTTACCATCAACTGTAGCTTTACCATCGACTGTAGCTTTACCACCGACTGTAGCTTTACCATCGACTGTAGCTTTACCATCGACTGTAGCTTTACCATCGACTGTAGCTTTACCATCGACTGTAGCTTTACCATCGACTGTAGCTTTACCATCGACTGTAGCTTTACCATCGACTGTAGCTTTACCACCGACTGTAGCTTTACCACCGACTGTAGCTTTACCATCGACTGTAGTTTTACCATCGACTGTAGTTTTACCATGGACTGTAGCTTTACCATGGACTGTAGTTTTACCATCAACTGTAGCTTTACCATCGACCGTAGCTTTACCATGGACTGTAGCTTTACCATCGACTGTAGCTTTACCATCGACTGTAGCTTTACCATCAACTGTAGTTTTACCGTTTAACACGTACATCTCTCATATCATGTTAATGACATTATTACAGTTATACACTGCAAAAAGTGATACAAAATACATCAAAATGTATCTTAATCTGAGCTCATTCTGACTGCTTTTAATCAAGATTTTCCAACGGGACAAAACAAAATGATGAGTTTAAATTAGTTTTAAAAAGATGCAGAAATTTCTCCCTTGGAACCAGAAAATAGATTCTTGAAATAAGAGTGAATCTTGTGAAAATGTGCTAAAATTAAGATAAAAATCACTGGATTCAAGCGTTTATGACCTCATTTCATAATTTTTTGAAAATATTTTGACATAAATTGAATCATACAAGAAAAATATTAGCTGTTTCTGTGTTTGAAAGAAATGTTTTCAAGTCATAATCAAATGTACTTAATCCACTGCAGCACAACATTCTATGGACTCTCTAAAGTAGCTCTCTGCTGCTTTAATCCCGAACATAGCTCTCCAGGAGAAGGTCAGAGATCCCTGTTTTATGCCATATCCACAGACTGCAAAAAGGGTAAAAATGTTGCAAAATGTGTCTTAGTTTAAGCACATTCTGACTGCCTTAAAACAAGATTAGCCAAAAATACTAAGATACAGAAATGTCTCCCTTGGAATCAGAAAATGAACTGCAGCATTTTAAATAGAAGTGAATGTCTTTGTCCCGTTGGAGAATCTGGTTTTGAGTCAGAATGTGTCAGATTAAGATAAAAAACCTCTCGATTCAAGCGATTGTTACCTCATATTTTATCAGTTTTTTCTAGTGTATGAACAAAGAAGGGGCCCGGACAGAAACATCCAAACGGCCGCATCCTGCCCTCGGGCCGGGGTTTTCCCACCGCGGCCGCTGTAGCTTGACTCTCTCCTGTGGTTCTTCCAGGACATGGCGTCGCTCTGGACTCTGCAGACCGTGCTGCTCTTCCTGGTCCTCTCCGCCGCCGCCGCTGAGGTGCTGCCGGAGCGCTCGGGTCTCGCCCTGATCCGACACAAGCGAGACTGGATCTGGAACTCTCTGTACGTGGAGGAGGAGAAGCCCGCGCCCACGCCCTACAAGATCGGACAGGTGAGCGCCACGCCTTAAACCTGCTCCATCCACCGTGCTGTTACCGTTAGCTTGTTTTGGTCCAGATTCTTTCTTCTAACACACAGGTTTGGGTCCGGGGCTGGTTGGGGCCAGAAGACACCAAAAATATAAACCACATGGTATTGGACTAATGTCCATAAATGTTTGGATATTGTTTTCTGGTCGGTTTGGATTCAATCAAGACTGATAGTTATATGTAAAAGGATAAATGTTTGGCCTAACTTCACTTCTAATACTTTATAACATATTATATTACATGGTGGTTTTCTTGATGAAATATGCTTCAGAATGAAGTATAACATGCCATAGAAGCCCACTACCATCAACGCTCCACTACCATCAACGCTCCACTACCATCAACGCTCCACTACCATCAACGCTGCAAAATAATGTTTCTTTCCCCACTGTGGGACGAATAAAGGAACTCTTATCTTTTCATCATTGAAAATACTTTTAGGGGCCACTAAAAATGGTCTCGCGGGCCGGATTTGTCCCGCGGGCTTGAGGTTGACCTGCCTGTTCTAAGACAATAATGCTGCAGAGATCTTTGATAATGTTCTAGTAAAGTTAGTTATTTTTCTAATGGGAATGATATTGAAGATTGTTTGAAATGGTTAGACCCGCCCATGCTCACTCCTGATTGGTCGATATCATTTCAGATCCTAGAGGCCCCTGGTCATTGGTCAAACCGTTCTCCTCCAGCAGATCTCACTGTGGCCAAAACGTCAAACATTCTCCTTTATTCTACAATCGTACAATTTGTACGATTGTGTTTGTTTTGTTTAAAAGTATTTTTTGTTTTTCTTGACTAAAAGAGAGAAAGTGGTATCAGATGGTCTACTCTACTCTACTCTGCCCCCCCCCCCCCTCGCTTGGGTTTGACTTGTGCAAACCAGCTCTTTGATAACTCTTTTACATATTGTCACAGTGTAAAAGGGGTTAAGCAGGACAAGTTTGGACTTCAGCCTAAAACCATTTTGCTCAGGCATTGTTTCGCTCAAGGTCCTTAATGGACACATTTTGGTTCCTTTTTTCTTGTTGTAAAAAGTATAAGTGATCTCTGAAACCATGTGACCTGAGATCGAAGAAAGAAAGTTGAGTTATTAAGTTGAGCAATTAAGCTACTAACAAGATTAAAGTGTATCATTAGACCACCCACCGGCTCACTTTTCAGTGTTCGATTTCTGATAGAACAAAGGTCAAAACCCATTCGCTGTAAATCATTTCAAAGCTCATGTTCTCATCTACATAAGTCTCACTCGTGTCTCTGTGTCTGCAGCTGAAGTCCACTCTGCGCGTGGAGGTCAAACGCTTCAGCATCGACGGAGAAGGCGCCAACAGCATCTTCACGGTGGACAACAAGGGCGACCTGTTCGTCACACGCTCTCTGGACCGCGAGGAGAAGAGCGTCTACCACCTCAGCGCCAAGATGTACGACGGAAACAACCAGGTGGTGGAGGACTCCGGCGGCTTCGAGGTCATCGTCAACGACATCAACGACAACCTGCCCGTCTTCCCCAAAGGCTTCAACGGCAGCGTTCTGGAGAGGGCCGCGGTCGGTGAGTTCAGGGTCCACTCGGGTTCATGTGGGTTTTCTTACGGTTTTGGGCGTTTTGCAAAAGAACGTCCAGTACAGACACCCTTTCGATCTTCTGTTCATTGCAAACCAAGAGCTCAGACTGTGCGACCTGATTATGTTTAAAACTGCTCAGATAATGTTCAGGGTTAGGGTTAGGGTTAGCAACCATATAAAGTCATTGTGTATCTCCGTGTGTGGAGTTAGGATTTGGAACCAACTGTCAGAAGGGTTGGGTACATGTCCTGTAGAATATTCAAGAACAAATTAAAATAGAATTTCAGAAATAGTTGGAGGAGAGTGTGTGATGGGCATTGTTCTGGTGCTGAGAGAGGGGTGGGGTCAGAGAGTGATTGGGCCAGTGTGTGTATGTGTGTGCGTGTGTGTGTGTTGTTTATATGCTGCTGTGTATGTTTGTGTGTGTCTTTGTGTCCTGTCTGAATGAGTGTGGAGAGTAACGGAGGGGGTTGGAAACATACAAGTGTTTGCTTCAGCCAACCCCCTTTCCAAACCTTCTACATTGATTGTATGTGTGTAATGTGTGTAACGTATGTAACGTGTGTAACGTATGTAACGTGTGTAACGTATGTAACGTGTGTAACGTGTGTAATGTGTGTAATGTATGTAACGTGTGTATTGTTTGTAATGTGTGTAACGTGTGTAATGTGTGTAACGTGTGTATTGTTTGTAATGTGTGTAACGTGTGTAATGTGTGTAGTGTGTGTAATGTGTGTAATGTGTGTAATGTGTGTAACGTGTGTAATTTGTGTAGTGTGTGTAATGTGTGTAATGTGTGTAATGTGTGTAATGTGTGTAGTGTGTGTAATGTGTGTTATGTGTGTAATGTGTGTAATGTGTGTAACGTGTGTAATTTGTGTAGTGTGTGTAACGTGTGTAATGTGTGTAATGTTTGTAGAGACAGATTTCTCCTGCGAGACATGAAACGAAGTCTCTTTTCACCAAAACACTTTCTATAAATACCGTGCGGTTCTGATCCAATTACCTGAACATTATGAAGCTTCAGAAACATTAGTGAAACGCCGGCTGCTGATTGGTTCGTCATGGGCCTGTTTGTGAGACACGTTTATTTCATTCTTAAACCTGTAAACGAGATCCAAGCTGTGAAAGAACTTTGAGAATCAGCTAAACTTTTAACAATGATTTAAAGTACCTGTTTAATGTGTGTGTAAGGTCGGAACGGGTCCTTTCTGAGTGGAGTTTGCATGTTCTCCTTACATAGGTTTCCATCAAGGTGCGATGGTTTGCCCTAAAAACATGTAGAATATGTCTGAATGTGGTTTGTGAAAGCAGGATCCTTCAGACCTTTGAAGACGAAGAACAACAAACAAAACAGATGTTGTAGGTCTTTGGTCTCCAACCTGTCACTCTCTTCAAAGTAGTCTACGTCCTCCAGTGTAGCTCTACATTGTGTAGACTGACAATATCATGTCAAAGTCAAGGCCCGTGAGCCAGATCCGGTCCACAAATGAATGATCTTGGCCCCGGGATGATATTTGATTAGTATTAGAACCGGATTATTCTTTTAATGTTCAGGATGTTTTTTTTCTTTGAAGGGAGTTTATTTTGTCTGTGACCCTTTTTGAAAACATAACTTATTTATTTAATCATAAAATAAAATAAGATCCACTGTGTTAGGTCTTGGTCCAGCAGGTTTTATGCATCATTTTAATAAACATTGAACCAGTCCGGCCCTCGGCTTGTGGCAAATCTGTGTTTGTGACCCTCTGATGTCTTTGACTTTGACAGCCCTGGTCTAAAAGGAGAAGCTCTGCCACTTCTGTCCCAGAACAAGTAGCTTTGGAGGAGGTTGGGTGTTGGAAACAGGTCTAAATTTACTGCTCCCTCACCCCCCTCACCCCCCCCCCGGCTGAGGCTGAGGCTGTGAGCGATGCCCCTGGCAGACACGGCGCCTCTGAGTTGACGTTAAAACATCCATTCAAACACACGATTATTTCTCCCAAACTGAGCCAAACAAATATATTTAGAGTTAAGCCCGAGCCTCGAGTGACAGTGGCTGAGGCTCGAGTGAAACGCTGCCAGGAGCAGACTGTGTGTGTGTGTGTGTGTGTGTGTGCGGGTGTGCGTGTGTGTGTGTGTGTGTGTGTATGTGTGTGCGTGTGTGTGTGTGTGTGTTTGTATGTGTGTGCGGGTGTGCGTGTGTGTGTCTGTGTGTGTGTGCGGGTGTGCGTGTGTGTGTGTGTTTGTTTGTATGTGTGTGCGGGTGTGCGTGTGTGTGTGTCTGTGTGTGTGTATGTGTGTGTGTGTGTCTGTCTGTGTGTGTGTGTGTATGATAACGGGGTAGTTACAGCTTCATTAGCATAATTATTGTCTTTTGAGAATCCAAGGCAAGTTTATATGTATAGCACAAGTCATTCACCTGGTGAATGAAACCACAACAACAGGTCTGTTTTTGATGAGGAAGAATGTTTGATGACATCATGACCCTCATGGACCAATGTCTCTGTGTGTTTGTAACGAGCCCCGGTGATCCAAGATGGCGTCCTGCTCAAATCAGTTGCTTGTTCTCAGCAGCGCCCGTATCACCACGGGCACCGAAAGATTAGTGGAACTCGTGCATATTTGGTCATTCCTCTGGTCCTCCCAAGGATCAATTATAATATCTATGGTATCTATTACACCTTGGAGCTGAGGGACCATGTGCTCGGGGGATTCTCATGGTACTAGAACTCAATGTAAACTAAAACAGCTCGACCTCAGCTGACAGAGAACCTGACAGAGAACCTGACAGAGAACCTGACAGAGAACCTGAAAGAGAACCTAACAGAGAACCTACAGAGAACCTAACAGAGAACCTGACAGACAGAGAACCTGACAGAGAACCTACAACTTTCACAAAGGTCAGATTTTCTGGCGAATATAGAGTTAGTATTTGCCGTAATGCATCATGGGAGCTCGTCCACTGCACAGAACCGGGAAGGACCAGCTGTATATTCAGGTTCTCTGTCGGGTTCTCTGTAGGTTCTCTGTAGGTTCTCTGTCAGGTTCTCTAGTAAGTAAGTTAGTAAGTTTTTATTTATATACTGCCTTTTCACTGCAGATCTGAGTCTCAAAGCAGTTTACAATTGTTAATTTTGGGCATTTGTCTCTCACTCCACACAGAGATGAGCGGGGCCAGTACAGGAGGCACATGCCAGAACTATTGGACATATTTTTAGTGGTAGGGGAAACCGGAGTACCCGGAGGAAACCTACGCAGACACGGGGAGAACATGCAAACTCCACTCAGAAAGGCCCTGGTCCCACCGGGATTCGAACCCAGGACCTTCTTGCTGAGAGGCGAGAGTGCTATCCACTCAGCCACCGTGCCGCCCTCTGTAGTTGAGGTTGAGCTGTTTTAGTTTACGTTGAGTTCTATGGGGAAATACCTGTGTCGCTCACGTGAATTTAGTCTGGTTTAGTCTGGTTTAGTCTGGTTTAGTCTGCAGTACTGAGGGAAACCGGAGTACCCGGAGGAAACCTACGCAGACACGGGGAGAACATGCAAACTCCACTCAGAAAGGCCCTGGTCCCACCGGGATTCGAACCCAGGACCTTCTTGCTGAGAGGCGAGAGTGCTATCCACTCAGCCACCGTGCCGCCCTCTGTAGTTGAGGTTGAGCTGTTTTAGTTTACGTTGAGTTCTATGGGGAAATACCTGTGTCGCTCACGTGAATTTAGTCTGGTTTAGTCTGGTTTAGTCTGGTTTAGTCTGCAGTACTGAGAGAATCCCTCGAGCACATGGGTCCGAACAGTTTGAACCGTCTGATTCTCTGATCTGTGTTGGTGAATCGACAGCTTTGTGAAGTCCTCAGAGATATCCAGTGTAGCCTGGCCTTCTCAGAGAAGAGGGTGTGACGTGTGGAAGTCTGGCTCTGAACAGAACAGAACAGAACAGAACAGAAGAGGGTGTGACGTGTGGAAGTCTGGCTCTGAACAGAACAGAACAGAAGAGGGTGTGACGTGTGGAAGTCTGGCTCTGAACAGAACAGAACAGAACAGAACAGAAGAGGGTGTGACGTGTGGAAGTCTGGCTCTGAACAGAACAGAACAGAACAGAACAGAATGGTGGGTGTGACGTGTGGAAGTCTGGCTCTGAACAGAACAGAACAGAACAGAACAGAAGAGGGTGTGACGTGTGGAAGTCTGGCTCTGAACAGAACAGAACAGAACAGAACAGAAGAGGGTGTGACGTGTGGAAGTCTGGCTCTGAACAGAACAGAACAGAACAGAACAGAAGAGGGTGTGACGTGTGGAAGTCTGGCTCTGAACAGAACAGAACAGAACAGAACAGAAGAGGGTGTGACGTGTGGAAGTCTGGCTCTGAACAGAACAGAACAGAACAGAACAGAAGAGGGTGTGACGTGTGGAAGTCTGGCTCTGAACAGAACAGAACAGAACAGAACAGAACAGAAGAGGGTGTGACGTGTGGAAGTCTGGCTCTGAACAGAACAGAACAGAACAGAACAGAAGAGGGTGTGACGTGTGGAAGTCTGGCTCTGAACAGAAACAGAACAGAACAGAACAGAAGAGGGTGTGACGTGTGGAAGTCTGGCTCTGAACAGAAACAGAACAGAACAGAACAGAAGAGGGTGTGACGTGTGGAAGTCTGGCTCTGAACAGAACAGAACAGAACAGAACAGAAGAGGGTGTGACGTGTGGAAGTCTGGCTCTGAACAGAACAGAACAGAACAGAACAGAAGAGGGTGTGACGTGTGGAAGTCTGGCTCTGAACAGAACAGAACAGAACAGAACAGAAGAGGGTGTGACGTGTGGAAGTCTGGCTCTGAACAGAACAGAACAGAACAGAACAGAAGAGGGTGTGACGTGTGGAAGTCTGGCTCTGAACAGAACAGAACAGAACAGAACAGAAGAGGGTGTGACGTGTGGAAGTCTGGCTCTGAACAGAACAGAACAGAACAGAACAGAAGAGGGTGTGACGTGTGGAAGTCTGGCTCTGAACAGAACAGAACAGAACAGAACAGAAGAGGGTGTGACGTGTGGAAGTCTGGCTCTGAACAGAACAGAACAGAACAGAACAGAAGAGGGTGTGACGTGTGGAAGTCTGGCTCTGAACAGAACAGAACAGAACAGAACAGAAGAGGGTGTGACGTGTGGAAGTCTGGCTCTGAACAGAACAGAACAGAACAGAACAGAACAGAAGAGGGTGTGACGTGTGGAAGTCTGGCTCTGAACAGAACAGAACAGAACAGAACAGAAGAGGGTGTGACGTGTGGAAGTCTGGCTCTGAACAGAACAGAACAGAACAGAACAGAAGAGGTGTGACGTGTGGAAGTCTGGTGAACGAACAGAACAGAACAGAACAGAAGAGGGTGTGACGTGTGGAAGTCTGGCTCTGAACAGAACAGAACAGAACAGAACAGAAGAGGGTGTGACGTGTGGAAGTCTGGCTCTGAACAGAACAGAACAGAACAGAACAGAAGAGGGTGTGACGTGTGGAAGTCTGGCTCTGAACAGAACAGAACAGAACAGAACAGAAGAGGGTGTGACGTGTGGAAGTCTGGCTCTGAACAGAACAGAACAGAACAGAACAGAAGAGGGTGTGACGTGTGGAAGTCTGGCTCTGAACAGAACAGAACAGAAGAGGGTGTGACGTGTGGAAGTCTGGCTCTGAACAGAACAGAACAGAACAGAACAGAAGAGGGTGTGACGTGTGGAAGTCTGGCTCTGAACAGAACAGAACAGAACAGAACAGAAGAGGGTGTGACGTGTGGAAGTCTGGCTCTGAACAGAACAGAACAGAACAGAACAGAAGAGGGTGTGACGTGTGGAAGTCTGGCTCTGAACAGAACAGAACAGAACAGAACAGAAGAGGGTGTGACGTGTGGAAGTCTGGCTCTGAACAGAACAGAACAGAACAGAACAGAACAGAAGAGGGTGTGACGTGTGGAAGTCTGGCTCTGAACAGAACAGAACAGAACAGAACAGAAGAGGGTGTGACGTGTGGAAGTCTGGCTCTGAACAAACAGAAAAACAGAAGAGGTGTGAGTGGAAGTCTGGCTCTGAACAGAACAGAACAGAACAGAACAGAACAGAAGAGGGTGTGACGTGTGGAAGTCTGGCTCTGAACAGAACAGAACAGAACAGAACAGAAGAGGGTGTGACGTGTGGAAGTCTGGCTCTGAACAGAACAGAACAGAACAGAACAGAAGAGGGTGTGACGTGTGGAAGTCTGGCTCTGAACAGAACAGAACAGAACAGAACAGAAGAGGGTGTGACGTGTGGAAGTCTGGCTCTGAACAGAACAGAACAGAACAGAACAGAAGAGGGTGTGACGTGTGGAAGTCTGGCTCTGAACAGAACAGAACAGAACAGAACAGAGAGGGTGTGACGTGTGGAAGTCTGGCTCTGAACAGAACAGAACAGAAACAGAAGAGGGTGTGACGTGTGGAAGTCTGGCTTGACAGAACAGAACAGAACAGAACAGAACAGAAGAGGGTGTGACGTGTGGAAGTCTGGCTCTGAACAGAACAGAACAGAACAGAACAGAACAGAAGAGGGTGTGACGTGTGGAAGTCTGGCTCTGAACAGAACAGAACAGAACAGAACAGAAGAGGGTGTGACTGTGGAAGTCTGGCTCTGAACAAACAGACAGAACAGAACAGAAGAGGTGTGACGTGGAAGTCTGGCTCTGAACAGAACAGAACAGAACAGAACAGAAGAGGGTGTGACGTGTGGAAGTCTGGCTCTGAACAGAACAGAACAGAACAGAACAGAAGAGGGTGTGACGTGTGGAAGTCTGGCTCTGAACAGAACAGAACAGAACAGAACAGAAGAGGGTGTGACGTGTGGAAGTCTGGCTCTGAACAGAACAGAACAGAACAGAACAGAAGAGGGTGTGACGTGTGGAAGTCTGGCTCTGAACAGAACAGAACAGAACAGAACAGAAGAGGGTGTGACGTGTGGAAGTCTGGCTCTGAACAGAACAGAACAGAAGAGGGTGTGACGTGTGGAAGTCTGGCTCTGAACAGAACAGAACAGAACAGAACAGAAGAGGGTGTGACGTGTGGAAGTCTGGCTCTGAACAGAACCAGTATAAATGAGGATGGGGGGGATTTGTCTCGGAGGCAGTGACACAGACTGATTACAAATGCACAGGTGATCATTCAGAAGTGAAATAAGGCCAGAATTAGACGCCGTGAGCGATCACCGTGACCTTTTCCATGTCCAGCCCCAACCGTAGAGTCACCACAACAGGCCTGCACTGTCAGACTGCGAGACGAGGACATATTCATCATGACATTTTAGAAACAATTTGGAACAATGCAAAATATTATCAAAAAACATGTGTTTCCATCTGAGGTTTATGTGACTCTATGATGTCTGTGACTCTATGACGTCTGTGACTCTATGATGTCTGTGACTCTATGACGTCTGTGACTCTATGATGTCTGTGACTCTATGATGTCTGCTGTGACTCTATGATGTCTGTAACTCTATGACGTCTGCTGTGACTCTATGACGTCTGCTGTGACTCTATGACGTCTGTTGTGACTCTATGACGTCTGCTGTGACTCTATGACGTCTGTGACTCTATGACGTCTGCTGTGACTCTATGACGTCTGCTGTGACTCTATGACGTCTGCTGTGACTCTATGATGTCTGTTGTGACGTCTGTTGTGACTCTATGATAATGAGATTTACTCAATGATTTTGTGTGGCGTCTTCTATCCTCACAAAAACCTATTTACAGGAATTTACAAAAGTGGTTCTTGGTCCAAAAGTGATTTTGTGTCTGTAGGTATTAAGGTGGTGGCACTGTAGGTGTTGTGTGCGGTGTGTTGTGTGTAGTATGTTGTGTGACTCTGTGGTTGTGTGTTGTGCGACTCTGTGGTTGTGTGTTGTGCGACTCTGTGGTTGTGTGTTGTGTGACTCTGTGGTTGTGTGATGCTGTGGTTGTGTGTTGTGTGACGCTGTGGTTGTGTGACTGTGGTTGTGTGACTCTGTGGTTGTGTGACTCTGTGGTTGTGTGACTCTGTGGTTGTGTGACGCTGTGGTTGTGTGACTCTGTGGTTGTGTGACTCTGTGGTTGTGTGACTCTGTGGTTGTGTGACTCTGTGGTTGTGTGACTCTGTGGTTGTGTGACTCTGTGGTTGTGTGACTCCGTGGTTGTGTGATGCTGTGGTTGTGTGACTCTGTGGTTGTGTGTTGTGTGACTGTGTGGTTGTGTGACGCTGTGGTTGTGTGACTCTGTGGTTGTGTGTTGTGTGACTGTGTGGTTGTGTGACGCTGTGGTTGTGTGACTCTGTGGTTGTGTGTTGTGTGACTCTGTGGCTGTGTGTTGTGTGACGCTGTGGTTGTGTGACTCTGTGGTTGTGTGACTCTGTGGTTGTGTGACTCTGTGGTTGTGTGACTCTGTGGTTGTGTGACTCTGTGGTTGTGTGACTCTGTGGTTGTGTGACGCTGTGGTTGTGTGACTCTGTGGTTGTGTGACTCTGTGGTTGTGTGACGCTGTGGTTGTGTGACGCTGTGGTTGTGTGACTCTGTGGTTGTGTGACTCTGTGGTTGTGTGACGCTGTGGTTGTGTGACTCTGTGGTTGTGTGACTCTGTGGTTGTGTGACTCTGTGGTTGTGTGACGCTGTGGTTGTGTGACTCTGTGGTTGTGTGACGCTGTGGTTGTGTGACTCTGTGGTTGTGTGTTGTGTGACTCTGTGTTTGTGTGACACTGTGGTTGTGTGACTCTGTGGTTGTGTGACGCTGTGGTTGTGTGACTCTGTGGTTGTGTGACTCTGTGGTTGTGTGTTGTGTGACTCTGTGTTTGTGTGACACTGTGGTTGTGTGACTCTGTGGTTGTGTGACTCTGTGGTTGTGTGACGCTGTGGTTGTGTGACTCTGTGGTTGTGTGACTGCGTGGTTGTGTGACTCTGTGGTTGTGTGACTCTGTGGTTGTGTGACGCTGTGGTTGTGTGACTCTGTGGTTGTGTGACTCTGTGTTTGTGTGACTCTGTGGTTGTGTGACTCTGTGGTTGTGTGACTCTGTGGTTGTGTGTTGTGTGACTCTGTGGTTGTGTGACTCTGTGGTTGTGTGACTCTGTGGTTGTGTGACTCTGTGGTTGTGTGTTGTGTGACTCTGTGGTTGTGTGACTCTGTGGTTGTGTGTCCGTAGGCACTAAGGTGGTGGTGGTGAAGGCCACAGATGCAGACGACACAAACACAGCCAATGGAGAACTGAGATACTCTCTGCTGCGCGGAGGAGACGGAAAGTTCCAGATCGACGACATCTCAGGTTTGTGTGTTTGTGTGTGTCTCTGACCTGTGTGTGTGTCTCTGACCTGTGTGTGTGTGTGTGTATCTCTGACCTGTGTGTGCGTGTATCTCTGACCTGTGTGTGTGTCTCTGACCTGAGTGTGTGTCTCTGACCTGTGTGTGTGTGTGTGTATCTCTGACCTGTGTGTGCGTGTATCTCTGACCTGTGTGTGTGTCTCTGACCTGAGTGTGTGTCTCTGACCTGTGTGTGTGTGTGTGTATCTCTGACCTGTGTGTGCGTGTATCTCTGACCTGTGTGTGCATGTGTCTCTGACCTGTGTGTGTGTCTCTCTGACCTGTGTGTGTGTGTGTGTGTGTGTATGTGTGTCTCTGACCCGTGTGTGTATGCAGGCATGGTGACCTGCAGCCTGCCGACCTCTGTGTGTGTGTGTGTGTATGTCTCTGTATGTGTCTCTGACCTGTGTGTGTGCATCTCTGACCTGTGTGTGTGTGTGTATCTCTGACCCGTGTGCAGTGTTGGGCACGTTACTTTGAAAAAGTAATTAGTTATAGTTACTAGTTACTTCTCCCAAAAAGTAACTGAGTTACTAACGGAGTTACTCCACTATAAAAGTAACTAGTTACCAGTAAAAGTAACTATTGCGTTACTTTTTCGTTTTGTTCTGGAACATAATGTGCACCCGACGTGCGCACTTTTACCTTTAACAGTGCCAATATTTCCATCTAGAAAAGGCTGTTCTGCTGCTGAAGTCCTGTTCACTCTTCATCTCTCTCTGTGCTGTAAGCACTAAACACCAACACGCTCCACTGTGAATGTGGAAACACCGGTGACGAGCGGTGAGGCTGGTGAAGCACTGACTTCAGACCAATCAGATGAACATATAGCGTTACATCATATAAATCAAGTGGACAATTTGTTTGGCTACAGCAAAATATGTTTTATGCCCGCATTGTTTGTTCATACAAAACGCAAAACTATGAGTTATGGGTCTTACCTTATAAATGACCTGCACAGTCCACTTCGGTTCAGACCAGTTCCTTGTTTAAATCCAGTGAATGGTTTGAGCGTAGATATGTAATCCTCCATTTGGAAATGAGTCCAATGAGTTTTAAAAAGTAAAACAAAACGCGTGTGTCCTCCATAAACTCCTCTGTTTTGCGGCAGCCGAGTGCATCCAATTTCTAAAATCAACCGTCTTACACTTCACCTCTCTTTCTTATCATTCCTATAGTCATTGAAAAAATACCCTATGTGCATTTTAGATTATGTAAAAATGTGTTATATGTATGTTAGCCAAACCTGTAGCAGCCCTTAGCAGATAAACCAGGAAGAGCAAGGAGCTTATCGATGGAATTGTATGCAGCCGACTTCTGCGCTCACATGTGCTCCTCTGAGGCTGGCCTCACGGTGATACAAGCCGTGGATGAGCGCGATTAAGACCCATATTTGTTTCAAAAACACAATTTATGAGCCATCCTTTCAACTGTAGACATGTGGATTGTAAAGGAAATATGTTTTACATCAGCCAATAATTGCTGAGAGGTTTTCTCATCCTCCCTTGTCATGAAGCCACCTGTGCCATTCCCTTAGTGATAACACAAAGAATACATTACAGAAAGACATCTGGAGTTAATCAGTCTAATCTGGAAAATCTAATTCTTGTTCCGTGTAAGAATCAGCCGACCACAACCGCTGATACTGAAACTTTGAAACTTGCTATGCTAAATGTCAGATCTCTTTCTAACAAGTCTTTTTTAATCAATAATTTTATTTGTTCTCATAATCTTGATCTTATGTTCATGGCTGAAACTTGGCTTGACCAAAATACAGAAAATGCAGTTTTAATAGAAGCATCACCACCAAATTTCAAGTTTGAATCTGAAATACGGGAAAACAAAAAAGGAGGAGGCTTAGCTGCCATTTTCAGAGACCACTTTTTCTCCCATAGAATGTCTCTTGGGAAGTTTCCGTTTTTTGAATATGTGTCTTTTAAAATACAACAAAAACAATCTCCTCCAATACTCTTCATAGTCCTATACAAGCCACCGCAGTCATGTCACAGTTTTATTGATAATTTTACCGAGTTGCTTTCAGTTGTATGCACAGATTTTGATAGTTTGGTTATTACAGGTGATTTTAATATTCATGTGGATAATGTTGATGACAGAAATGCAAAAGAGCTGAGTTCTTTACTTGATACCTTTGGTCTCACTCAGCATGTGAGTGGCCCCACCCACAGCAGAGGGCACACTCTAGACCTGTTAGTTACAAAGGGGGTGATTATTTCAAATGTAAACGTGGTCGATGTTGCTCTTTCGGATCATTTCTGTGTATTTTTTGACATGTGTTTCACTAACAAACCACCAGTGGACTCTGCAACTGTTCGAAGAAGACACATAAATGAAAATACGAGTGATCTATTTATGGGAATTATAAACTTTGAGAATGCATCGTATTCTACTGTAGATGAACTGTTTAACTCTGTCACCTCTAGTGTTTTGAATGTTCTGGACACCATCGCTCCTGTGAAGGTTAAAATAGTGAAAAATAAGCAGAAGGCGCCGTGGGCTAAAGCAGACTCGGTCAGGGCACAAAAGAGAAAGTGCCGGAGGGCCGAGCGGAAGTGGCGCAAGTCCAACCTCCAGGTTGATTACAAGATCTTCAAAGATAAGTTGTGCGAGTTTAACCGGGTGCTACGTAGTACGAGAGAAAGGTATTTTTCTGAAATGATTGAAGGCTGCAGTAACAATCTGCGTGTTCTGTTCTCAACAGTTAATAGATTAACAAACCCCCCTGTTCAGATGCCATTAGAGCTAACTTCCAAACGTAAATGCAATGAGTTTGCACACTTTTTCAATGACAAGGTTCAAGGCATCAAAAACGCCATTGTCTCCAATCCACAGATAACCATCCAACAGCCAGAAAGGCTCTCTGAGCTAACTCACTTTGCACCTGTAAATGATAAAACTGTCCAAGAGATAATCTCCAGTTTGAGCTCCTCCACATGCAGCCTGGATGTACTACCCACTAGATTTCTGAAGTCTGTTCTGAGCAGTCTGTTACCTTCACTCACACAGCTAGTAAACATGTCCCTTCATTCTGGAATATTCCCAAAGGCCCTGAAAACTGCAGTCATCAGGCCCCTGCTAAAAAAGAGCAGTCTGGATGCTACGGTACTTAACAACTATCGTCCCATCTCAAATCTGCCATTTATGGGGAAAGTCCTTGAAAAAGTTGTCTACCTACAGCTTACTAGATTTCTTATAATCAACAACTCATTTGATATGTTTCAGTCTGGCTTTAGACCCCACCACAGCACTGAGACTGCTCTCGTTAAGGTTACAAATGATATCCGGCTGAACACTGACGCAGGCAAAGTCTCAATCTTAATCTTGTTAGATCTAAGTGCTGCCTTTGACACCGTCGACCATGAGATCCTCTTACAGAGACTAGAGGACTGGGTTGGCGTCGCTGGCACCGCCCTAAGTTGGTTTAGGTCTTACCTTGAAGACAGGAAGTACTTTGTGGAGATTGGAGACTGTGTCTCAGATCATATGGCCCTGACCTGTGGAGTACCACAGGGGTCGATCCTGGGACCTCTTCTGTTCAATCTCTACATGCTGCCGTTAGGTCAGTTAATACGCAGAAACAAAGTTTCCTATCATAACTATGCAGACGACACTCAGATCTATGTCTCACTGACTGCAGGAGAACATGGACCAGTGGACTCACTCCTTCACTGTATCCAACAGATCAGTGAGTGGATGCAAAACAACTTCCTTCAGCTAAACGCAGACAAAACTGAAATGATTGTCTTTGGTCCCCAGAAACAAAGAGAGAGCGTCATCTGTCACCTACAGTCTCTCTCCCTAAAACCTTCAAACAAGGTCAGAAATCTAGGGGTAATACTGGACTCAGACTTAAATTTTAATAGCCACATCAAATCAGTAACATCAGCAGCTTTTTACCATCTAAAAAACATTGCCAGGATCAAAAACATAGTGTCTAAAGCAGACCTGGAGATTCTTATCCATGCATTTGTCTCCAGTAGGTTAGACTACTGCAATGGCCTGCTCACAGGTCTGTCCAAACAGGCTGTAAAACAGCTGCAGTACATTCAAAATGCAGCAGCTCCAGTCCTGACTAGAACCAGGAAGTACGACCACATTAGTCCTGACTAGAACCAGGAAGTACGACCACATTAGTCCTGACAAGAACCAGGAAGTACGACCACATTAGTCCGGTCCTCAGGTCTCTGCACTGGCTTCCTGTGGCTCAGAGAATAGACTTTAAAACAGCTCTGCTTGTTACAAGTCTCTCCATAGCCTTGCACCAAAATATATTAGTGACATGTTAGTCCCATATGAACCAGCCCGGACTCTGAGGAGCACAGGGACTGGACTCCTGCTGGGACTCTGAGGAGCACAGGGACTGGACTCCTGCTGGGACTCTGAGGAGCACAGGGACTGGACTCCTGCTGGGACTCTGAGGAGCACAGGGACTGGACTCCTGTTAGTGCCCAGAGTCAGAACTAAACATGGGGAGGCTGCTTTTCAGATTCATGCTGCTAAAATCTGGAACAGTCTTCCTGAAGATGTGAGACAGGCCTCCTCTCTGACAATGTTTAAGACAAGGTTGAAAACAGTTCTGTTTAGCTGTGCATACAACTGAGGGATTTTATATTTTTATCTTTTTTTAATGTACTGTGATTATTTATGATTTTAATGCTTTCTTGTTCTGTTCAGCACTTTGAATTGCCTTGTGTATGAATTGTGCTATATAAATAAACTTGCCTTGCCTTGCCTTGCCTTGCCTTGCCTTGCCTCCCTTCTCTCATGACAACACGTTCATTGTGCGTCTTGAGTAACGCGCAGTAACGGGATGTCGGAAATGATAACGGCGTTATAGTTACAGTCAAAGTAATTAGTTAGATTACTCGTTACTGAAAAAAGTAACGGCGTTAGTAACGCCGTTATTCCCATCACTGCCCGTGTGTGTGTCTCTGACCTGCGTGTGTGTATCCAGGCATGGTGACCTGCAGCCGTGCCGACCTGGACCGGGAGAGCGTGGCCCAGTACCTGTTGGTGGTGCGGGCGCAGGACATGAGGGGGAAGCCTTCAGGCAGCACCGCCACCGCCACCGTCACCGTCACCGTCACAGACATCAACGACAACATCGCCTCCTTCAGCTCCAGTGAGACACACAACACACACACAACACATACACCACCACCAGTGAGACACACAACACACACACACACACCACCACCAGTGAGACACACAACACACACACACACATCAACGACAACATCGCCTCCTTCAGCTCCAGTGAGACACACAACACACACACACACACACACACCACCACCAGTGAGACACACAACACACACACACACATCAACGACAACATCGCCTCCTTCAGCTCCAGTGAGACACACAACACACACACAACACATACACCACCAGTGAGACACACAACACACACACACACACCACCAGTGAGACACACAACACACACACACACACACACACCACCACCAGTGAGATACACAACACATACACACACACACACCACCACCAGTGAGACACACAACACATACACCACCAGTGAGACGCACAACACACACACACACACACACACACCACCACCAGTGAGACACACAACACATACACAACACACATACACATACATCACCACCAGTGAGACACACAACACACACACCACCAGTGAGACACACACTACACACACACGCACACACACACCACCACCAGTGAGACACACAACACACACACACATACACACACCACCAGTGAGACACACACACAATTGCAACAAGCCAACACAAAGATACAAACAATCACACAAGGCAAAAATCTCTCAGTTGAAGCACAGAGAAACAGAACTATTTTTGACCTGGATTTGAACACTTTCAGAGAAGAAGCCTGTCTCACATTTTCAGGAAGACTGTTCTAGATTTTAGCAGCAAGAATCTGACAGAATGCTACACAGGTCTGCATGGACAGGCCAGTCCCTGTGCTCCTCAGAGTCCCAGCAGGAGGCCAGTCCCTGTGCTCCTCAGAGTCCCAGTAGGAGGCCAGTCCTTGTGCTCCTCAGAGTCCCACTAGGAGACCAGTCCCTGTGCTCCTCAGAGTCCCAGCAGGAGACCAGTCCCTGTGCTCCTCAGAGTCCCAGCAGGAGTCCAGTCCCTGTGCTCCTCAGAGTCCCAGCAGGAGGCCAGTCCCTGTGCTCCTCAGAGTCCCAGCAGGAGGCCAGTCCCTGTGCTCCTCAGAGTCCCAGCAGGAGTCCAGTCCCTGTGCTCCTCAGAGTCCCAGCAGGAGGCCAGTCCCTGTGCTCCTCAGAGTCCCAGCAGGAGGCCAGTCCCTGTGCTCCTCAGAGTCCCAGCAGGAGGCCAGTCCCTGTGCTCCTCAGAGTCCCAGCAGGAGTCCAGTCCCTGTGCTCCTCAGAGTCCCAGCAGGAGGCCAGTCCCTGTGCTCCTCAGAGTCCCAGCAGGAGTCCAGTCCCTGTGCTCCTCAGAGCCCCAGCAGGAGGCCAGTCCCTGTGCTCCTCAGAGTCCCAGTAGGAGGCCAGTCCTTGTGCTCCTCAGAGTCCCACTAGGAGACCAGTCCCTGTGCTCCTCAGAGTCCCAGCAGGAGACCAGTCCCTGTGCTCCTCAGAGTCCCAGCAGGAGTCCAGTCCCTGTGCTCCTCAGAGTCCCAGCAGGAGGCCAGTCCCTGTGCTCCTCAGAGTCCCAGCAGGAGGCCAGTCCCTGTGCTCCTCAGAGTCCCAGCAGGAGTCCAGTCCCTGTGCTCCTCAGAGTCCCAGTAGGAGGCCAGTCCTTGTGCTCCTCAGAGTCCCACTAGGAGACCAGTCCCTGTGCTCCTCAGAGTCCCAGCAGGAGGCCAGTCCCTGTGCTCCTCAGAGTCCCAGCAGGAGGCCAGTCCCTGTGCTCCTCAGAGTCCCAGCAGGAGTCCAGTCCCTGTGCTCCTCAGAGTCCCAGCAGGAGGCCAGTCCCTGTGCTCCTCAGAGTCCCAGCAGGAGGCCAGTCCCTGTGCTCCTCAGAGTCCCAGCAGGAGTCCAGTCCCTGTGCTCCTCAGAGTCCCAGTAGGAGGCCAGTCCTTGTGCTCCTCAGAGTCCCACTAGGAGACCAGTCCCTGTGCTCCACAGAGTCCCAGCAGGAGACCAGTCCCTGTGCTCCTCAGAGTCCCAGCAGGAGTCCAGTCCCTGTGCTCCTCAGAGTCCCAGCAGGAGGCCAGTCCCTGTGCTCCTCAGAGTCCCAGCAGGAGTCCAGTCCCTGTGCTCCTCAGAGTCCCAGTAGGAGGCCAGTCCTTGTGCTCCTCAGAGTCCCACTAGGAGACCAGTCCCTGTGCTCCTCAGAGTCCCAGCAGGAGACCAGTCCCTGTGCTCCTCAGAGTCCCAGCAGGAAACCAGTCCCTGTGCTCCTCAGAGTCCGAGTTGGTTCACAGATGTTTGTTTTGAACCCATTATTTGGACACGTTCCTATCTTCCCTGTGGTGAAAAGTTGACACGGGTCTAAAATCACAGGTACAAACAGCAGCCCTCTGTTGCAGACACGATGGAGGTGAGCGTACCTGAGGACCACAAGCTGAGCGAGGTGATGACCACGCTGAGACTGGAGGACCGAGACCAGCGGCAGAACAAGGTCCCGCGGATCTTCATCACCGGCGAGTACTCACGGATGTTCCACGTCCAGGTCGACTCGGAGAAGAACGGGAACCTCATGCTCCGACAGGTACACACCTACATGCACACGCTCAGACACTTACATGCACACGCACAGACACCTACATGCACACGCTCAGACACTTACATGCACACGCTCAGACACTTACATGCACACGCTCAGACACTTACAGGCACACGCACAGACACCTACATGCACACGCACAGACACCTACATGCACACGCTCAGACACTTACATGCACACGCTCAGACACCTACATGCACACGCTCAGACACCTACATGCACACGCACAGACACCTACATGCACACGCTCAGACACTTACATGCACACGCACAGACACTTACATGCACACGCACAGACACTTACATGCACACGCTCAGACACTTACATGCACACGCACAGACACCTACATGCACACGCTCAGACACTTACATGCACACGCACAGACACCTACATGCACACGCTCAGACACCTACATGCACACGCTCAGACACCTACATGCACACGCTCAGACACCTACATGCACACGCTCAGACACCTACATGCACACGCTCAGACACCTACATGCACACGCTCAGACACCTACATGCACACGCTCAGACACTTACATGCACACGCTCAGACACCTACATGCACACGCTCAGACACCTACATGCACACGCTCAGACACTTACATGCACACCACACAGACACTTACATGCACACGCTCAGACACCTACATGCACACGCTCAGACACCTACATGCACACGCTCAGACACCTACATGCACACGCTCAGACACCTACATGCACACGCACAGACACCTACATGCACACGCACAGACACCTACATGCACACGCTCAGACACCTACATGCACACGCACAGACACCTACATGCACACGCTCAGACACTTACATGCACACGCTCAGACACTTACATGCACACGCACAGACACCTACATGCATACGCACAGACACCTACATGCACACGCTCAGACACTTACATGCACACGCACAGACACCTACATGCACACGCTCAGACACCTACATGCACACGCTCAGACACCTACATGCACACGCTCAGACACCTACATGCACACGCTCAGACACCTACATGCACACGCTCAGACACCTACATGCACACGCTCAGACACCTACATGCACACGCTCAGACACCTACATGCACACGCTCAGACACTTACATGCACACGCTCAGACACCTACATGCACACGCTCAGACACCTACATGCACACGCTCAGACACCTACATGCACACGCTCAGACACCTACATGCACACGCTCAGACACTTACATGCACACGCTCAGACACCTACATGCACACGCTCAGACACCTACATGCACACGCACAGACACCTACATGCACACGCTCAGACACTTACATGCACACGCTCAGACACTTACATGCACACGCACAGACACCTACATGCACACGCTCAGACACCTACATGCACACGCTCAGACACCTACATGCACACGCTCAGACACTTACATGCACACGCTCAGACACCTACATGCACACGCTCAGACACTTACATGCACACGCTCAGACACCTACATGCACACGCTCAGACACCTACATGCACACGCTCAGACACTTACATGCACACGCTCAGACACCTACATGCACACGCTCAGACACCTACATGCACACGCACAGACACCTACATGCACACGCTCAGACACTTACATGCACACGCTCAGACACTTACATGCACACGCACAGACACCTACATGCACACGCTCAGACACCTACATGCACACGCTCAGACACCTACATGCACACGCTCAGACACTTACATGCACACGCTCAGACACCTACATGCACACGCTCAGACACTTACATGCACACGCTCAGACACCTACATGCACACGCTCAGACACCTACATGCACACGCTCAGACACCTACATGCACACGCTCAGACACCTACATGCACACGCACAGACACCTACATGCACACGCTCAGACACCTACATGCACACGCTCAGACACCTACATGCACACGCTCAGACACTTACATGCACACGCTCAGACACCTACATGCACACGCTCAGACACCTACATGCACACGCTCAGACACCTACATGCACACGCTCAGACACTTACATGCACACGCTCAGACACCTACATGCACACGCACAGACACCTACATGCAAACGCTCAGACACCTACATGCACACGCACAGACACTTACATGCACACGCTCAGACACCTACATGCACACGCACAGACACTTACATGCACACGCACAGACACCTACATGCACACGCACAGACACCTACATGCACACGCACAGACACCTACATGCACACGCACAGACACTTACATGCACACGCACAGACACCTACATGCACACGCACAGACACCTACATGCACACGCACAGACACCTACATGCACACGCACAGACACTTACATGCACACGCACAGACACTTACATGCACACGCTCAGACACCTACATGCACACGCACAGACACTTACATGCACACGCACAGACACTTACATGCATACGCACAGACACCTACATGCACACGCTCAGACACCTACATGCACACGCACAGACACTTACATGCACACGCACAGACACCTACATGCACACGCACAGACACTTACATGCACACGCACAGACACCTACATGCACACGCACAGACACTTACATGCACACGCACAGACACCTACATGCACACGCACAGACACCTACATGCACACGCACAGACACTTACATGCATACGCACAGACACCTACATGCACACGCTCAGACACCTACATGCACACGCACAGACACTTACATGCACACGCACAGACACCTACATGCACACGCACAGACACTTACATGCACACGCACAGACACCTACATGCACACGCACAGACACCTACATGCACACGCACAGACACTTACATGCACACGCTCAGACACCTACATGCACACGCTCAGACACCTACATGCACACGCTCAGACACCTACATGCACACGCTCAGACACCTACATGCACACGCTCAGACACCTACATGCACACGCTCAGACACCTACATGCACACGCACAGACACCTACATGCACACGCTCAGACACTTACATGCACACGCTCAGACACTTACATGCACACGCTCAGACACCTACATGCACACGCTCAGACACCTACATGCACACGCACAGACACTTACATGCACACGCTCAGACACCTACATGCACACGCTCAGACACTTACATGCACACGCTCAGACTCCTACATGCACACGCTCAGACACTTACATGCACACGCTCAGAAACCTACATGCACACGCACAGACACTTACATGCACACGCTCAGACACCTACATGCACACGCTCAGACACTTACATGCACACGCTCAGACACCTACATGCACACGCTCAGACACTTACATGCACACGCACAGACACCTACATGCACACGCACAGACACCTACATGCACACGCACAGACACTTACATGCACACGCACAGACACTTACATGCACACGCTCAGACACCTACATGCACACGCACAGACACTTACATGCACACGCACAGACACCTACATGCACACGCACAGACACTTACATGCACACGCACAGACACCTACATGCACACGCACAGACACCTACATGCACACGCACAGACACTTACATGCACACGCACAGACACCTACATGCACACGCTCAGACACCTACATGCACACGCTCAGACACCTACATGCACACGCTCAGACACCTACATGCACACGCTCAGACACCTACATGCACACGCACAGACACCTACATGCACACGCTCAGACACCTACATGCACACGCTCAGACACCTACATGCACACGCTCAGACACCTACATGCACACGCACAGACACTTACATGCACACGCTCAGACACCTACATGCACACGCTCAGACACCTACATGCACACGCTCAGACACCTACATGCACACGCTCAGACACCTACATGCACACGCTCAGACACCTACATGCACACGCTCAGACACCTACATGCACACGCACAGACACCTACATGCACACGCACAGACACCTACATGCACACGCACAGACACTTACATGCACACGCACAGACACTTACATGCACATGCTCAGACACCTACATGCACACGCACAGACACTTACATGCATACGCACAGACCCCTACATGCACACGCACAGACACTTACATGCACACGCACAGACACCTACATGCACACGCACAGACACCTACATGCACACGCACAGACACTTACATGCACACGCACAGACACCTACATGCACACGCTCAGACACCTACATGCACACGCACAGACACTTACATGCACACGCACAGACACCTACATGCACACGCACAGACACTTACATGCACACGCACAGACACCTACATGCACACGCACAGACACCTACATGCACACGCACAGACACTTACATGCACACGCACAGACACTTACATGCACACGCTCAGACACCTACATGCACACGCTCAGACACTTACATGCACACGCTCAGACACCTACATGCACACGCTCAGACACCTACATGCACACGCTCAGACACTTACATGCACACGCTCAGACACTTACATGCACACGCTCAGACACTTACATGCACACGCTCAGACACCTACATGCACACGCTCAGACACCTACATGCACACGCTCAGACACTTACATGCACACGCACAGACACCTACATGCACACGCACAGACACCTACATGCACACGCACAGACACTTACATGCACACGCTCAGACACCTACATGCACACGCTCAGACACCTACATGCACACGCTCAGACACCTACATGCACACGCTCAGACACCTACATGCACACGCTCAGACACCTACATGCACACGCTCAGACACCTACATGCACACGCTCAGACACCTACATGCACACGCACAGACACCTACATGCACACGCACAGACACCTACATGCACACGCACAGACACTTACATGCACACGCACAGACACTTACATGCACACGCTCAGACACCTACATGCACACGCACAGACACTTACATGCACACGCACAGACACCTACATGCACACGCGCAGACACTTACATGCACACGCACAGA